TCTTTCTCCTTATCCTGGGTGGACTGCAGGAAGACAGAAATGAAGCACCGTCGCCGAAGCTGTGTTGGCACTTAAGGTCTTGTTTAGTTCCTATCATATCGGATGTTTGATATATACATAGAGTATTAAATATAGATTAAAAAAATAACTAATTGTATAGATTACGACTACTTTGCGAGACGAATTTTAGCCTAATTAGTCCATGATTTAACAGTGTGGTGCTACAGTAAACATGTGCTAATAACGAATTAGTTAGACTTAATAAACTCGTCTCGTGGATTTCTAGGACTTCTATAATTTGTTTTATTATTACTATCCAAACACTCCCATGTGATACCTTCATATGACATCTAATATGACCCCTTAAAACTTTATCTCTTGGATTTAAACACCTCGTTACTAGTTTGTTTGAGAGATGGTCCGCGCTTCCCCGGCGTTTTCCTGCAGGGTTGGTTGTCTGGTGAGATATGAGACGGGAACTTGGAAATGGTAGCTACGGCAGACGCGCTGACGCGCACGAGGCGGAGGTTTCCGCGGTCCTGCTCCGACTTCAGCACATCCACATTCTCTGGATCTCTTTCTAGATAGGGCCTTATTTAGATTGAAACTTTTTTCAACCTGATGAATAGTACCATTTTTGTCTTATTTAGCAAATATTATCTAATCGTGGACCAACTAGGCTCAAAAGATTCATCTCGTGATTTCCAACTAAACTATGTAATTAGTTATTTTTTTTACCTACATTTAATACTCCATGCAAACAGTTAAAAATTAATGTGATGGAGAGAGAGTGAAAAAACTTGGAACTTTGATGGGATCTAAACAAGGCCTAGAGTACTCAGGCCACGTTTAGTTGCGCCGAGTTGGCGCCGCTGAAACACTGTAGCAACACTGCCGTTTTGTTTTTATTTGGTAATAATTGTTCAATCGTTGACTAATTAGGCTCAAAACGTTCGTCTCGCAAAGTACAACCAAACTGTGTAATTAGTTTTTAATTTTATTAACATTTAGTACTCCATACATGTACCACAAGTTTGATGTGATGAGGAATCTTTTTTTTGCATAGTGCCAAATTCTAAAATTTGGAGGAACTAAACACCCCCTAAGAATTCCGATTACTGTGATACTGGTAATCTATTCTAGTGCCCTCTGCAGCCTGCAGGTACGGTTATCTTGTGTTGGGCTCCAATTTGTAAGCCCTTATTTAGTTGTAGGAATTTGGATTTTAGGGCTACTGTAGCATGTTCGTTTTTATTTGATAAATAGTGTTCAAACATGGACTAATTAGGCTCAAAACGTTCGTCTCGTAATTTCCCACCAAACTGTGCAATTAGTTTATCTTTTCGTCTACATTTAATGCTCCATGCACAGGCCGCAAACATTCGATGTGACAGGTATTGTAGTAACTTTTTAGAAATTGGGTGGAACTAAACATGTAGGTACTGTAGCAAATTTTTAGAAGGTGGGCCGCAAACATTTTTAGAAGATGGAGAGCACTGTAAAATCCTTCTGACATAGTAGTTGAGTGTAACTTCCGTCTGCCATTCATCATTAAATGACATTGTAGAGTACGTAGGCACTAACCTGGCGTTTTAAGATTTCGTCATGTGGGATTTCATTTCATAACACTCAGTAGTACAATTGTATAAATCATAGGTTGTCTGCAGAGAACATTGCATTTATGCGGTGTGTGTGCGTCCCGCTCGTACGCATCCGCGCATTTAGTGGAGGACTATAGTGACAATTCCTTTTCGCCTAACTGTAAACTAATTAAATTATTATTAGTAAGCACTTGCCACATGTTCTCAGGAGTGAATGCACGGTCTAGCGGTGTACGGCGGCACTTATCATTTGTTAGCGATTGATTTGAGAATTTAGTAGCTTAACATAATCTATACAGTAACTGATCGATGCAGGCATTACGGGGGACGAAAAGGTTGGCGCACTGGTTATCCGACTTTTAAGACATGATAAATTTTAATCACCATTTACAACTCCGTCTGCACTCACTTTTTTTTACACCTTAACGAAAACTGGTCTTTTCAATTCTTGCATGTATATTGTATACTATGTATATATAGAAGTACAACTTTACTAAGTCTTATTTTGTTTCTATTGCAATTATACTTCTGCAATGATTTTTCTAGCCTCGATGCTTAGTCTCTGCTGGTTGTGTTCCGGCTTAGAGATACGCTCCTCAGTTAGATGATGGTTTGTTTGCTAGTAGGCTTTATGCAGGTATTCCTAGTAGCCAGTCTCTTAGGGCCTGTTCTGCAGGACTGAAAAATAAGCCAAAATACTGTTCCGACTGATTGTTGTGAGGGAAAAATACTGTTCTTGCTGAAAACACTGTTCACGAGAACAGTGCGACTGTGAGAGCGCTGGCCAGCCAGCCGAACGCGGCCTTAGCTGTCCCTTCTTACTCTGATACTCCTGCTATCTTGTCTGGATGATGTATTTCTGTTATGTCTTCAATGGAAATGGGGGAATCCCTCGGTTAAAAAAAAAAAGAAGTACAACTTTGTGGAAGTCTCCCTTGCCCGTTTTACTCTTATCCTACTTGCTCTCAAATATCATTTGGCTAAAAGTAGGATGGACATTCTTACCGATTTCATGCACACTTCATCTTGCTTTATTACTTGATATAGGCAACGTCAATGGGACGAGAGACTAAATTGCATTGTTTGCCTTTTTTATTGGGGTGGAGTTTGTATTTTTGTTTGTTTGGGTTTGTTGTTAATGTTGCAGGTGTGTTTTTTCTTTGAAATGGAAAGTCATTTCCATTACTCAACCAGATCCAGGTAAATCCCGGGATACAAGAATGCGGGGCTACATACCGGCAGTGCATGCAGCATTGCTTACACACGCAAATCGGTCAGAATATAGAAGCCTATGTCGATGACGTTGTCATCAAATCGAAGAAAACCTAAGGACCTAATTTGAGACCTCTTGGGAACATTCGAGAATTTTAGAAGATTCGACATGAAGCTAAATCCGACGAAGTGTACCTTTGGTGTTCCTTCAGGCAAGTTATTAGGGTACATCATCTCTACTTGACGCACCGAGGCAAACCCGACAAACATAAAGGCCATACTCGACATGTGACCAATCCATGGCCTGAAGGACACACACAAAAGCTTACAGGATGCTTAGCCACCTTAAGTCGCTTCATATCGAAAGTGGGCGAACGAGGGATCCCCAGTATAATCTTCTCCGGAAATCCCCAAAACTACAATAGACTCAGAAAGCTCAAGACGTTCTCGATAACCTCAAGAGATAGTTACGATCCCCTACTCGCAACCGACCCCCGGCGCACGGTACATAAGTGATAAAAACACCCATGATACACTAGACGTAGGGTACAGTACCTGAGCTAGTATAAATCTGTGTCACGTTTTCTACTCCTCTGATTTATTGCGTGTGATACATCTATTACTAGCCGGATGTAAAACAACAACAACATTGAGCATGGATAAAAATTTCCATGTGTATTGAAGCATCCTTTCTATTTGATGTAATTTAAACCATCTTGTGCCTTTAGGTTGAAATATATATGCCCATCATTCCTCTTAAATTTAAGTTTTTAAGTTGAACCGTTTGGTTCATGTAATTCAGGGACTGTTTATTTTAGCTTTTGCTAGTCAGGAGTCAAAGATTGAAACAAGCAACCTAGCTATTGGGATGCCTTTTGAAATAAACCTAAAAGTTGGCTTGAGAAAATGGATTAAAACTCGAAAAGCTAGTTGAGAGGTTTTTCTAGCTTTTTGTTTGCTAAGTAGCTATAGATTTATTACGAAAACTAATAGCAGAAAGCCATCGGTAAGGAGTTGAAAGCTTTGAAAAACAACTATTCAGTCAAAAGTCTAAATAGATATCTTGAGTTTGAATTTGTCAGGATCAATAAAATATAATAATTATAGCCAACTTCTATCGTGTTTAAAGCCCGAGGGAGCCTACATGTGAGGGAGGATGTTTAACTATAAGTGAACCGTCCATCTCTTTTTCCATAAACTTTAGATTTTGGCTTATTGATCAGCAATGCAACTTAACACATTCTCCTTTTTTCACGATCTCATCTTAGTATGTTATTATTTATTAACAGGAGATAAAATAATTAGGCTTAAGTAAGCATAGGTCTCCCCAGGTGAGAACCCGTTTACAATGTTCAGTATTACACACAGAACAGTGAGTGTCGACACAAATACATATGATCAGAATATCAAACCATATACTCTCATCGAATTAGGGCCTGTTTTGATCTATTAACACAAAAAATTAGCAGCTAAAATTAGTATTAGTGGATCCAAATAGACCTGCTAACAAACCCGCTAATTATTAGCTTGGGGTCTGCTAACTATTAGTTCCATTATCAAGTTTGTAATTGCTAATAGGTGCCTTCAACTTTATGCATTATCCAACCACCCATTATAAGCTATTGACATGTGAATCTAAACGTCCTCCTGCTAAAAGTTAGCTAGCTAAAAAATATTAGCTATTAGCTAGCTATTTTTAGTGCTAATAAATCCAAACATGTCCTTGGTAAGCTAAATAAAATAGTTGCAATTAAGTAAAAGAAAAGAAATTACAATTAACAAAGCAGGCTGTTCAAATTAATCGTACCTGTCCCCCGCACTGCACTCCACACCCCACCACCGCGCGTGTTTAGTTTCATTTGGTATACTGTAGCATTTTCGTTTTTATTTGACAATTAGTGTTTAAACATGGACTAATTAGGCTCAAAACGTTCGTCTCGCAATTTTCCATCAAACTGTGTAATTAATTTTTTTTCATCTATATTTAATGCTCTATGCACAAGCCACAAACAAATGTAATAACTACTGTAGCTCTTTTGGGGATTTTGGGTTGGAACCAAACATGGCCTCAGACACAGACACAAGAACCTCGTCATTCCAACTGCGTACGTTTCTATAAAAAAAGGTCTTCCGTCGTCCCATTACTCCGTTACCTTAGATGGGTTGTTAGTTTCCAACCGGTACTTGATGGGAGACGGGGATGGGGACTATGCGCTGCACCCTCAGCCCGGCGCCGCCGACGTGGCCGTCTGGCCCGGCGAGCTCGACGAGCAGCTCATAACCGAGCTCCTCAGCGACGACAGCCTCCTCCTCGGCGAACTGCAGCAGGTCCCCGCCGGCGACTTGGAGCAGCACTGCTCGCGTGACACTGGCGCGTCATCTGCTCCCGCCGCGCCGTGCATCAGCGGCGGCGGCACCACGGCCGAGCACCAGGAGCTGCTTCCGCAGCCGGAGGCGGTGAGCAGGGCCCTGTGCTCGGTGTACACCGGCCCGACGATCCGGGACATCGAGAAAGCGCTGTCGACATCGAGGCCGCACCCCTGGAGCAGCCTAACAGTGCATCTGTAGGTGCATGCATCTGATCCGTGCATGGGTTGAACTCAACAAAATCTTTGATGGAAGCTAGAAGGCTGACGACGGCATGGGTTTTGGTTGAAAATTGATCGAAGTGGCAGGTTGGGAGCGGCAAGTCGAGCGCCGGAGAAGTACACGACGAAGGTGAGGAGCTGTGGCGGCAAGACGCCGGGCGACGGGTACAAGTGGAGGAAGTACGGGCAGAAGTCCATCAAGAACCACCCCCATCCCAGGTGCAGTACGATTCACGAGTCTAGCTCTACTTCTAATTTACTACTATACGTTCTTGGTTAAATTTGGCCGTTAATCTTTTTTCCCCTTAAACTATAACAATTTTCAAAATTGCTCGTTGTTCTTGGCATATATCGATTGGATCGCAAATAGATCGATTCGGAGTCATGTATGCTTGCGTGATCTCGCAGGAAGGGGGCTTCTATATGCGCGCTAGCTACTAGTTACAAAAGTCGCTTCGCTTGTAGTACTGCACATCTAGAGTTTGTCGACTTATGGCATGATCGTCGATGCAATCATGCAATATGCATGCGAGTTTGAACAATGCCGCCGCAGGTGAAATATATACCCGGCACGGCCCCAGGGCCATGAGCGGCGGCCGAGCGCACACGCCCGCCGGCCGCCGGCCGCCGGAGCGGTGCGGCCATATGCATGCCATGAACTAGCAGTGTTTCGCTGCAGCTGGAGAGCAGAATCGCTGCAGCAGCACGTTTGTGTCGGTCGTGTAGTGTCGGCTTGTCGCGGTCGATGCATGTAGTACGTGTGTGCTAGATCTCCGATGGTAGACCAGAGATGGACACGTTTCTGGCTTCTACCGGTAGCTAGTGCCGGATGCAAACCCTCACAGCTAGCGGCTGTGCAAGTCATGCATGAGCTGAGCACATGACTGGAGATGGCAGATGAGGCCATGAAGGCCTTTGGCGGGGTCGCGGGGAACCGGGGAAGACCAAAGTACTGACACGAGCAAGAAGATAGGGATTCTACTTGTATATGTCATGGAGTTAAATGAGGTCGGTAAAAGGAGTAGAGAGACAGCATTTGTGGCCGACTCCGATACATAGTAACTTTTGCTTTTTCAAGACTCATTTTCTAGCTCTTGCTCGTTCACCAGTTAGCTAACTATACTACTCCCATGATTAACAGGCTGCTCCTCTAGTACGGTAGGTCCTCGAGCAGATTAGTGCTAATTAAACACACACTAGGTCATCGAATCGTGCACATACATGGATCGGTAACGTTATTAACATAAATAAGTGTTAGAAACCCATGCCTAAATTTAGGCTTCACAGAGCTAATAATCAAAATTTCCTATCTTCCGCGGGCGCGCTCTCTCGTTTGTTCATACTCCACAATACTCATATATAGGAACTTTCTTATCTTTAATTATCCGTTTATGATAAAATGCGGTTACCAATTATTCTATATATATTTCCTTTCAAATGTTAATTCACCGTTGCATGGCACCATCACGTATAGTATTTGACAAATTAATTTAGTTATTAAAACCTTACTTTTTTGTGTGTGACAAATCAGTGTGCTCGCCGCTCATGCATTCATATTGTTCTGCATGATAACAGTACATATACGACACGCAAGATAGAAATGGGTAATCAAGAAGCATATATAGGACCACTTTGAGGTAGTCTTTAGTCATAGATATAAATAATTTAGATGTATATTTAGAGATACTTTAGCTTATTTTTAGCAATGATACTTTAGCTTATTTTTAGCAATGATACTTTAGCTTATTTTTAGCAACTATGAATGTGGGTAATTTATCGGATGTCTCCAAAGAGACAAAAGGTGGGTATGACCAATTTGAGCGTACTCACTAATGTAAGGAAATAGTGTTTTGGGGAGAGTGCTAGCCTGCGTAAGTAGATATTCAGGAAACCAAACAACTGGGCTTTGTAAATATGACGCCCTAGATAAGGAGATACGCAGGCAACCAATCAGACCCATGTGTTCCTGTCGTTTTGAGAAGACCGTTGTGACTACATTGTCAATTCCTCTAGCTGCATGCCTGCATCTATGGATATCAGCAGTCGTGGAGGTGACACTTATGGTCCTTTGAAGGATCTCAAAAAGAACCCCGGTCAGTTGTCAGCAAAAAACTCTGCTTTTTAATATCACGAATCGTGGAGGTGACCCTTGCCTTTTAAGCATTTGAAACAACCCTAGCTAGTCTGACTTAAAAACACCATAGGAAAGTGGAAAGAACAATATATTGTGTCCATATTTAAGTCAACAAGCATCCTCGTAAACCTCACTTATTATTCCTATCTTTTGCATAATAAATCTCCACCAAACTTCCAAGATTAGTCATCTCTACCTCTGCCTTCACTTACCTATGATTTGTTCTATATTTCTTATTCCATCCCAAACCACATAGTATGACAACTTTATACTATACTTATCTAACTCCTTAAATGCAGAAGCACCTATTGCATGGTCCTCCCTTAGCAGATCAACGATCCTATCCAAAACATAATGTAACTCACTACAAATAAGTTAACCTAGACCATATATAAAGAGAACACATGTTACAGTCAAGCAATGGAGTATACATGGCCAAATCAAGGTGTGGCATGCACCATACCTTTCCATACTGAGCCCTCCACCCTTGAACCCATAGATCAAGGTATGGCACGCACCATACCTTGCCCTCTCGAGCCCTCCCCCCTTGAACCCATGCCTCTTCATCATCACTAAGAGATTTTGGTTCTTTGAATGTCTTTGCATTCTTTGACTCCTTTGTCCCAACTTGTGCACTTGTCCTAGAAGATGTCCTAGGAGCATAGAATGGTCAACTCCAAGATCAGCATATGCATTCTCATCAACATTGGTATATGAATCTTGTATTGGATCAGTAGATTGGCTAGTCTACTGTTGGCTAAGTTACTGCCACTAGTCACAGTCACATATATAGCCTTCTAATGCCCAATAGCAGTACATGTCAATTGCATTCCTCAGTGTTGTAAGTAAGAAGTTAGAGTGGAATAAGTAGATATGTTCTTGTTCTAAAATGTTAAAGACAAGCCCTGATTGTTCCCACACTTCATCACCTCTTCTATATCGAACTGATAGATCCTTGAAATTGGTTAGAGCGTCCGCAGTGTATAGGTGCGGGGTCGGCTCTTTGGGTGGGTCCCACAGTGATGTGATGGCTTCTAGTATTTAGATTCCAATGTGTAGAACCGGGTCTGGGTTTATAACTGGGCCCACCATTTATTACTAGCTGCCGATCCTCTCTCTTTCCCCGGTCTGACTTCCGACGCGCAGGAGAGAGAGAAAAGTATGGGAGCGGGTTCGTTGCATAGGAGTGGCTTCTTCATCGAATCAAGTACGCAGTGTATAGGACTCGGTCCTATGGTCGCATTTATTAGATCGAACCGGCTAAAGATCGCCCACTGCGGACGCCCTTATATCCGCATAGAAAACTAGTTGGAAATATGTGGTTTCGTAGTACACGTGCCTACCGTCATAGCAAATCTCATAATAAATTGGAATGTGCACAACAATTTTGCAGATAGAGTAACAATCCATCCTAAAATAGGAACAAATCACTAGAATCGTCGAATCTATCATGCGCAATACCAAATCTGTGATAAAACCAAGGCAAACAAACTTATGGTTCTGACAACATCGACTAAATCACACTTCTAATAGATGTTAAAAGTACTCTTCATCAGGGACCTATGCTAGACTCACCGGCTTTGTTGTCTATAGACACTTCCTTCCAAGCAGTGACACGGCCATCTTCATCCTTTCCTTGACAAAATGCAGTACCGTCACCGTTGGGAGGCTAACTGAGTTAGGGTTCAGAGTTGAGTGCACACAAACCATAGGTCAGGTCGATTTAGGCTAAAGGGTGGTTCAAATCAGACTATGGGCATCATGTGTCATTCCAAAAAAAGAGCTCCGTTTTGGTGGTGAGGCAACCATCGCCCTGTTCGTTTTGGCTTGTTTGGCTTATAAGCCGTACTTTTTCAGCCAACGAATAATATTTTTTTTATTTTTAGCCATGACTTATAAACCAAACAAGCTGAAACGAACAAGGTGCATGGCGGTATATAACAGCCCCTGTAAACCTGCTTGCCTCGTTGATGGAGCGTACGTACTTTGTACGGCCAGTAATGGCAACCTAGCGTCTTACTAATTCAGACCAACCCATCTCGTGGATTATTCATTACACCAGTGCCTTTGCTAGCAGTAAAAAGAGTACGGAGTCACACATAACCATCTCGCCATTCTGTGGTGCCACTGTGTAAAGAAAGTGCAAACTTATGTGACACGGTAGAACTAACATTAAGAAAGGTGCTACGCTTCCCTGGAACATGCTGCCAAGACCTGGTCGTCGAATGTTTACTGTTTAGATTAGAGAAACAGGCCAGCTGATAGCGACATTCGCGTCGCTTACCGCCTAGAAGCAGAAATAAATAGTTCCAGCAGGAGTTCACAGTCCCTCCTTGTCACTCGACCATTATTCAACCCGTTGGACTGACGATCCCAGGATAGATATTTCGTTCATCCAACATATAATAAAGATGTGCACGGCACGGCAACCACTAACAACCATCTACGTCTCATTAACTGGCTCTAAATTAACTAAAAAGGGTTGGTTTCAGTCTTTCAGATGGCCTGTCTTTTCAGGTCCAGGAAACCTGAAGCTAGCAGCCACACAGCACAGGTTGCACGCCACTCATCGACCGCAGAGGCGTGAATGCACTCTTTCTTAAAATTTGCGTACCACTTGTTTAGCGCGAATAGATTTTGTTTCGGTCACGTTGACGCCCGATACTTCCTCCGTTTTCAAAACAAACTCTGATTATTATAAATCTGCGTGCATGCCTTTGTGTGACGCAGGAGCTACTACAAGTGCACGAGCTCCCGGTGCGGCGCGAAGAAGCACGTGGAGAAATCCACGGACGACCCGGAGATGCTGATCGTCACGTACGAGGGCCCGCACATGCACGGCCCGCAGCCGCTCTTCCCGCGCCGGCAGTGGCTGTCCATTGAACTGTCCGGCGCGGGAGCGGCGGCGGCCTCGAAGACGAAGCAGCAGCAGCAGCAGGCCAGGGCCTCCTCCTACCCGGCCGCGTCAGCCGCGCTCGCAAGCGGCGAGGACGGGGGCGGCGGCTGGCCACCGAGCCAGAAAACAATGACGCGCGGGCGCGACGTCGACGTGCGAGGAGGGCCCACGGTTGCTGCAGGCGAGACGGCGACGCCGCCGGGGCCGCCTCAGATCGGACGCGCGGGTGACGCCGTGTCGACGCAGCCGCGCCTGGTGCTGACAGCGGACTCGTGCGACGACGGCTCCACCGCCTCCGTGCCGCCGCCGCGGGCTGCTGCGTCGTTTCCTCACTGTGACTCGCCGCCTACGACGACCTGGTCGTGCCCTGACTTCCCCTTCGCCTGGTCCCCTGAAGCTCCTCTGCTTCTGTAGAAGCCGGTAACCAAACCAGGTCATCTAGGAATAGGAAACATACATGGCTATGCATACCTAGGCCTCAAAGGGATCAAAAGATCTGAGACGCCAGCGGTTTAGTATTATCCCGTACAAAAATAACTCAAGTGACTAAAGCCAGAACACTGACGTGAAGCTACCTAAATTGGTGCAGCGACAGTGATAAAAGGGCTTACCACTTTTCTAGTTAATAACCAGACAACGGCTACTACCTACTACCCGTACTATATTGTACAGTAAGCTGGGCATCACAAGTGCCAATGTGTGCCACTGTGCCCTATCACTAGAGAAAAGGTTACTTTCCTCTTTTACTAAGTAAGACATTATAAAGCCTCACGGGTTATTAAGGTAAGAATTGATTGGCCTTGCCCATGCGCCGTGGTTCAACCATCTCCATCAGGCATGTCATCGTTGCTCTCACGGTTACATACTTCTCTACTTTCTTTTGAAAGAAGTTTCATTACTCTGCTTTTACGAAGGAACATAATTACGAGTATTAAAGCTGGGTGTTGATTATTCCGGACTAACAAGAGCACAACAAAAAGAGCAGAAGATCCCCGCTAAAGAAAGATGTCCTATTACAAAAGGTTTAGAGCTTAGAGACATCCGACAGCATGTTCTTGTAGTTTGTAGGTTTCTTCACCTTGTTCACCACCTTTGCAACAATCTCGTGATCACTCTCCCTGAGTAGATGTATCTAACTTCTGCAGCGTTTAGTTGCAGCGGCTTTGCAACAATTGGCCTAATTAGTTACGTTGTTTTTCTCCTAGGCATATGGCCTTTTTTCGATTTTTAGTCTGTGTGCTTTTGTAGAGATCGAAAGTGGTTCATAGTTATTGTATTAACTCGATGTAATGATTATAATTTAATAAAGTCTTTCCTATATAAAAAAACTCTAATTTCTGCAACAAATCATCTCAGTTGGGCTATTAGGGAGTATCTTTTCGGTTGTCGTTTTATTTCTGGTCTCCAAATTGACCAAGTGGGACCTACAAAATTGGAATTCCTAAGCCTTGAGAGAGGTCCATAACTTGGGCAAACTCTCAAAATACTACATCCATTCCCAAATAAATCAATTTCTTGAGTTGTCCTAAGTCAAACTTTTATAATTTTAACAGAGTTTATAGAGAATAACACAAATATTTATGACACAAAATCAGTATCATCACAGTCATTAGGAAATTTATGTTTAACAGTGTACTTTTTGGTATCATAGATATTAATATATTATTTCATAGTATAAAATTGGCCAAACTTACAACTCTAGATGTTGATTTATTTGGGATAGAGGAAGTAGTCATTAAACGAGATAGGAAAGCCTTTCTTGTTTAAAATCTCCCTTAGGCATGACCAACTAATAAATATTTGAAAGAGCATGATCAGGAAAAGTATATTGCTGCATATTGAGTAATCTTAATAGGTAGTCTTAGTTTTTTTTCGTGACATGCTGTAAAGAGCGGAGGTAAAAGAAAGATGTCGTTATTTTGCGTGACAACTACCTCATGTAAGCTACATGAACCCGTCCATAAAACAACACTTGAAAATACGGATAACTGACGTAAAGGCAACATATGGTCCCTAGCTAATTACAATCACGTGCGAGTTTGTCGGGAAAAAAAACATATGGTCCCTAGCCGCGCCATAAATGAATCAACATCCTCCGCAAAGGCAACATCTGGCCCCCCATACTATCCCATTATAGCACTGGTACTTGTATTCCAACAGTGCCTCGTAATCCAGTTCACGGTCGCTAGCCGCGCCATGAGCCCATGAATCGACTGCTCGCTGCCAACTAACAATTGTACCGTACCAGGTATGAATCCGATAGCTTATGACTGGCAGACCAATATAATCCACTTACCAATAACCTGTCAAGTGTCAACTGCTGGACGCTCGTGATGAAATTAGAGGCGACGTATCCACGTGCTGGTCTTGTTGATGCAGCCTGCAGGGATGATCCTTCTTACTTCTTTCGTTCCAAATTATAAGACGTTTTGATTTTTATAGATTTATTAATTTTGCTACGTATCTAAATATATATTATGTCTAGATACATAATAAAACCTATGAATCTAAAAATGCTAAAACGTCTTATTATTTGAGATAGAGAAAGTAACTAATTTGTTGGCAGTATGCACGAGCACATTTCCTTTGCGTACAATAATAATTGTGTGTAGGCTAAAAGTTGAGAGCTGCCGTATCAATAAATTTTCTCCGGTGTTAATCAATCAACTGTGACTCTGTGAGTCTTTGTTGGCTTGCTGCGTCAGCGTCATGAGAAACAGTGAATCAAGGTTGGGGTTTGGGGCTATCCACAATCCCTCCAACCGCTTGTTCCACGATGCTCCAGCTTCATGAGAGAAAATAAAAGTACTTATTAAAAAGCCAATGTGAGTTGCGTCAGAGAACGGTTCTGGATTTGTACCAGGTTTTGGGCCTCTGTTATCAATGTCTGATGCACGTGGACAATTGGAGGAGGAGGATTACACGGAGAGGCCCAATTCTCTTGGAACCGGCGTAATCTCGTGCTTGGTCCACGTACGTTGAGTTACTGCCTCATGGGCTTCCACTTGGGCTTACGGGCCGAAAATCGAGTCTTTATAGGAGCCAGGTTCACACTCCACACAAGCTGAGCCTTTCTTGTACGGTTGTACCACCTGTTCTCTGTCTGGAGCTAATCGCAGCTTAACACGAGCTCAAATCCGATTTTAATTACTTTAAAAAAATCCGATTTTAATTTAACACGCATCCGTGAACTGTGATCCTTGTTAACACGCTCTAGATTGGCGGTGAACCCTTCAAACGTGTCCGTTAAACGCGAACGAAACCAAGCGGGGAGCCGCGTCCTCCTCCGCCGCCACCATTCCGCCACCCATCCGCCGTCTCGTCGGCTCGTCGCTCTCCCACGCGATCGCCGGAGGATCGCGGGCCGAACCCTAGGACAAGCCCTGCCTCCCTTCCAATGCCCTGCGCGCCATCGCCGCCATGAGCCTCTCCTCCCTCTCCCGTGCCCTCGCCCGGTCCGCGCGCTCCTTGCGGCAGGTAGGTCACACGGTTCGAGCCCGCCCCCCCTCTTCTCCGTACAGCCCTGTTTTCTTATGGCGTGTCATCTCTGGTGTTACCCTAGGGTTCTCTGCTCGAGGGGCATGCCGGGCTCCGCGCGGCGCCGACGCCGCGGCCGACGATCCCTTGTGGTGATGACCGCGGCTTGGGGTTTGCGCGCAGCTACTTGACGTCAGCGCTAGGGAGCCGGCCCGCCGCGCCCACCGGGGCGGGAAAAGTCGGGGATTGGAGGTTCCTGCTCGCCAGCTCGCAGTTCCGGCGGTTATGCGCTGATGGGTCTAACAAGAGTGAGCTTTCTTTCTGGGTTTGGGTTGTCATTTGGTCGGCTTATGTTCTGTATATATACACAATATATAACGCGTTCCTTTCTGCTTTAGATTATGAGAAGTACCATCCAAAGGAGAAGGAGCAGAAGCCAGAGGGGGACGGGAGTGACAAGTCTGAGTCCAAAAGTAAGTAGTGCCAATTTAGTTCGTTCAATGCACGTTATTGTAGAGCAAGAAAAAATTGTTCTGTTTTTGTATTTATTCATTGGTAGCAATTGACCGGATTCTAAATCTACAATGAGGGTTCATAGACATATTACCTGTGGTTTGGCATATTATTTATCATGAAAATGCAGCAAACTTATGGAGAGCTAGATAAAGCTGGAATTTCACAATGTTGTTCTACTATAATTACCTTACTGGAAATTGGATAGATATACAAACTCTACTGCAATCAGACAATTCTTATATTGAAAGGTAATGAAGGGTTATTGCTCGCTCATGGCGCGCCTCACTCTGGCACCTATGGATAAAAGAGGGGATAACAGTATAACAAATAGGTATTTTGGTTTTCTTGGGAGGTGATGGTAGTTTGCATCCCTTTGGTCTAGACATGTTTATCCATTTTGCACCTTGTATATGGGCAGTGCAAGCCATGCACATAACTTGGTTGCATTTTTTTTATGTTCAGAGAATTCAAATTCAAAAAATCAGTGGAATTTCCAGGAGGATGTCATGAAAAAATTCCAGGAATTCCTTGCTCCTCTACTTCTTCTTGGGCTAATGTTGGCAACCTTACCCAAGGGGTCGTCTGCGCAGGAGGTATGATGCTTACTGGCAGACTACTATTTTTCTCGAACACGTAAGCGAGTTGCGCATCATTTCATTCAGTGAGAGAAGAATAGTACAAAGGAGGGAGAAGAATCCCCTCCCCAAGGAAACACTAGACCAGAGCAACTGCGGCAGACCTACTATTAAACACGCTTATGAGTTGCAATTGTTTATAATTTGGTTATTTCGTATAACTCTGTAGTCTTGTGTACTAATTTACCTGGTCATGGTTAATACAAGATAATGAAGCTGCCGTCTGTGGGTGCGTTCTTGTTTGTCCAAACCATTCTTTCCAGAAAATGTTAGACAAGAGTTGTTATCTCTTGATTTTTGTGTATACTGTATGTTCTATGATAACAGAGAATTAGTTTGAATTCAATTTGAGTGGTGACGGGCAGATGCCACTCCCACCTCAAGTTAAAACATTGAAACTATACCACCTTAGATTTCATAGTTCACACACATGAACTGGATGGTGATTCATTCACAGTATGTAATGTTATAGACGACTAAAAAGGGTAACTGCATTATAAGCCTGTGGAGATGATCTCATCACATGCTATTGCTTAAAAGCATTATGTGCACAACAGCACAAGTACCTATAGGTAGAAGTAAAAAACTGATGACATTCCCATATTAATCGTTATATGACCCAGGCAGCATATCCAGGTGCTTTATTTAGTCTCATATCAGTGTGGATTTAGTATGATGTTAATTTACTTTTTATTTCTTGTTAACCAATTTATCTGATACTGCAGGCTGCTTTTTCCTGCCCGTTTCAATTACTATGGCTCACAGTTCCCGTAGTTTATTGGACCA